ACCGAGTTCTGCGCTTATCCGGTATGAGCTTCGAAAGGATGACTAAAAGAGCCTACAAAGAAGGAAAGTTGGGCTTCTGTTACTCGGATACTAACCGATGGTCATGTTATTTACCACAGTCAATGCTCCCTCCACGACTGAGGATGGAATTGAAGTTCTGGAAAATTGCCATCATCGATGCGGCGATGCCGAGACTTGGTGGATCGATAGGAGTCACATGGGACGATCTATCAAACTTTTTCGCTGTGAATTATGAGTTGGGAACTTACAACATTGAAAGTGATCGGGAGGTGATTAAGATGGCAGCCGAAAGTTTAATCGATGACAAACTGCTGGAAATTAAAAATGGCCGCATCTTTTCAAAATCTGAGGAGCCTACGGATGATACTCCAGAGAAAGAGATCGTGGATTCGGCGAAGATTCCGGCATCTCAAGAAGTTACTTTGGAATCGCAACAGCCGACATCGGCCGAGCCCGCAGCTGGCGATGCTCAAATGAAATCAGCAGAAACTGGAGATGCGGTGTCGGCAACGACTGAAGCAACAGAGTCGGCTGACACATCAGTTCAAGAGTGAATGAGAGATGCGTGATGTGCGGTTAGGAAGGTCCACCGCATATCACAGACGAAAGCGAAAAGTTGAAATAACTGAGATGGAAAACGTCGAAACAGATGGTTGAGATAACTTAGCGAATGTGCTAAACGAGATGAGAAGATGAGATAACCACATCAGTCAGATAGGCGAATGAGCTTGGAACTGATAACATGGAAAGGTCACCATGTAACAGTGTTAAAAACGTCGTCATGAGCTAGGAAGGTCTCAGCTCAGTACGGGAATAGCCTAACATAGGCGTAAAAGCTGATAAGAAGGATCGTGAGATGATCGTGAGATGATATTTTGACATGTCTTAACATTGCAGACTGAAAAAGGAGATGGCGGAAAAAAGTCCGACCAAACCGACTCCTCAAGCGGCGGCACCGGCGGTGAGAAGTCAAGCAGCACCAGCAGCCGCGAATAATCAATCTGGATCTGCAAATGGAAAATCTCAAGTAGTACCATCATCCACACGAAGTCAGGCGGCGCCATCTACAAGTCAGGCAGCACCTGCGCCTCAGAAGAGTCAAGCCACACCGACAGCTACGAAGAGTCAAGCGGCGACTGTGCCCGCGAAGAATCCAGCTGCTCCCACTAACGTTCGAAGTCAACCCGTGCCGGCACCCCCGCGATCCCAACTTGCGACCGCACCTGCCGCGAACTAGCCAAAACCATGGATTGATCCGTTTACGGGCTATAACTCGAAATGTCCGGACTGTATCAGAAACAACAAGGTTGAAAAAGGAGATTACCCTTGCTGGTTCTGCATCTTTAAAGAACCGAATCGAACTCTGGTGGCATATACTGAAGCTATTCGCGGGAATAAAGATGTTTTCCGAGCTATAACATCAGCAGAAGCATGGAAGACAGTTCCACCACGAGAAAAGATGCTGATTGAAGATCGATATCGACAAGCGATCAAGAATGGCGAAATCGGTTGGGATTTTACTTATGAACCTCCTCAAGATGATCTGTGCGATGCCTTTCGCAGAAAGTTCGAAGCAGATCAGGCAAGGATGATGGAGGAGAAACGACTGAAGGATCTGGCAGATGAGATGACAGCCAGCAGGAAACGCGCCGAACAACGGGCAGCCCAGGATTACCGAGAAAGGTCGGTGCAGGGCAAAGCCCCTATTCCTGTGGCTCAATTGAATGCAGCTGAAGCGGAGGTTAGAGTGAAGGCCATTCTCCTCCAGATCGATGAATTAATTAAGGAACCGTCAAAGATCCGCGCAAGCACATTCGAACTCCTCCTACGAGAAAGATGAGGCTGGAAAGAGGCGAACCACTTAAACCTGATACAAAGATGCTCATCGAAAAGATGACCGAGGAGGTTCGAAAGACACATGAAATGGAACGGGATGTTATGAAAGCATTTCAAAGCTTTCGGCGCGATGAAGGTTTCCAACGACCTCGATCGCCAGTGCGAAGGGAACATCAGAGATCACGAGAGTATTCACATGAACGAAATTACGACTCTCGAAATGAAAGGTCAAGGGAACGTTCCCGCGAACGAACTCGTGACTATCATAACGAAAGAGATAATAGATCACGTTCGCGCGATCACGATTACCGTGGCGGCAGATCATGGGTGCGACACGGAGATCAAGTAATTGAGACCAGCGCACATCGTCGCCATGTACCAGCTGACCGACGACGAGATGAACCTCGTCAAGATGAAATGCGTCGAGATGAACCTCGTCAACAGATACCGATGGGAGTTGGTTTTTGCCACCCAAAAGTCAGAGGCTTCACACCGGAACGACGAGAAGGAACCTTAGCGGGACCTGCCCGAAGTCGCAGCCCATACGATAAGGGATGGCAGGATGATATGAACCACTTTGCTGACTTCGAGATCAACCAGCCTAAGAGAACTTCAAGTGGAGAACGAGACGATACTCCACCGAAACATATGAAAGTGAAGTCAGTGGTTCACATGGTAGAGCCATTAGTAGTAACGATGGATGAAGATGAGCCGATGGAATTGTCATCTGAGAGCATCGTCCATAAAAGAAATGTGGTATTGGACCGCGATCTTGAACCATCGACATCGTCGCGACGTGAGCAGGAAGGCCCTCACGAATCGCAGAAGGAACCGGAAAACCGATATCAACCCGAACGCCAACGTCAACAGGAACAACCTGATCGACGACGCGAAGATGGTCACCGGAGAGATCACTCTCGGTTTGATAATTCACGACGAAGATTAATCAGCAAGATGTACGATATGGATGACATCGAAACCCAAAGGGCGGAAATCTGTCGCTACTTCGGATTGGAAATTGAATCGGAGCAATCAGTGATGATACACGCGCAGCTCCATAACCATACGGGATTCTAATTATGAAACGGATCTCAGAGAGAGTAACCTCGGTCGCCTGGAGATCACCACCGAATCTGCGATGGTGTGTTACACACCAATCCGACAATGTGGCTTACCGAGTCTCCTCGACTTGAGCCTATGGGAAGTCCCATTGGATACAATCGACAACACGGGACTTACACAGTTCCGCTACCAAGAAATTAAGGAGCGAAGTTTATATGTGGCACAATTTGTGCTACGTAACGTGAATCCGGCATTCAAGGTTCTTGCGGCACGAGCAGCCATTGGACTGACGGTTGACCCTACCGACTACAAATCGCGGGTTTTCGGTCAGAAGGTCTTCGCTGCGAGATTGGGCCATTTTCCGACACAGAATCAGTTGTTTTCGGACTTTACGAAGGGGAAAGTTCCGTCTGTGTACCGGGAAAAGGTTGCTAAATTAGGAATGCCGTCGAGACATCAGGAGATCGCACGTAAAGCGAACGACGGATTGGCGATCTGCAAGAAGCGATTTGATGACTGCAACCTTCACGAGATACATGACTCACAGTATCAGGAGCGGCTCAATCGTATTCGAGATACTATGGATACGCCGTATATCGAACCGCAAGATCGAGTTCATGAATACATTAAAGATCACCTGGAATGGAAGGGACCGAAAAAACCGACCACTTCCAGTGTTCCGAATACACCGGGCAGACGAGCTCGAAACCAGAACATCCGGAATCAGTATGAGGATGCCAGACAGCGACTAGCGGAAGACCCTCAGAATCGTAACCTGCAGCGTGAAGAGAATGACGCACGACATCGTTTGGACGCGATTAAACGTTCGCGACAAGGAAAAGTTCGTGGTCCACGACACATTGTCTTACGAGTTCAAGCGGAAGAAGACGTCCCGGCTGGATCAGCTGCACCAGTTGATCGGACTTCTGACAGAAATCAGCCGGGCCCAACTCGAAAACGTCCACCGCGAGACAGGGACGATGGAGATGGGTCGAATGAGATGATATGATAAGAGTTGCTACGGCTTATGTCGGCATCCCTATCAATCGACTCATCTTAGTTAAGAGTAGCTACGGTACATTTGGCCGGCTCTCTAAAATAAGGTTGAAGAGATGGATTGTGCGACGAGATGAATTTTACCAGGGAGGCAAGCTGAGATGAGCTTGGGAGCCGAAAAATGGCTGAGTTCCTCCATGACATATGCTGAATTAACCTTACCAGATGATGTCGCACATCCATGATCAGAAGGATGATCTTACTAGGGAGGAAGCGAACTTCGCTTGTCTACATGATGTCCCTCCATGACTTAACCGGATCTCATTATAAAAGTCGTACAATTGATACGCATCTATTCCAAAGCTGAAGCAGTATTCCTAAGACGTACATTCGATACGCACCTTATTCCTACAAGCGGATGTGATGAAAGTCGCACAAAGCTGCGCAACATGCTCAAGATGGAGCGGAATGGGCCAAAGAGATGCGGAAAAGCGGTGGACAGGATACCTGTGACCTATGCAAGTCGAGTGGAGGATCCTAGTCTACATGTTCATTTAACCACTTTTGTTGATCTGTTTTAACTGTTGATCTGTTTAAATGGAATAGTATTTTTATACAGATCTCTTTATTCACATTGTGCATTTGGAATTATGTGATAAGAAGGATTAAGAGAATTTGATGTTTTTTTTTACGAGCGCCCGCACAGACCACCGACCGGAACGAGACGGAATGGACTTAGCCTCGGCGGAGCTCGGCCTCCCACCCAGAGGCATGTGAGGCGATGGCTCCCCTGCGTCCACCTTAGTGACGCTACTGGAGTTGGGGGAGTGCTTCGTTGCACTACGCACTGGGGATTCCCCATGGAATTACCGTCCGTGGCGTGTCTCTTTTCTGATTGGCTGACGGCTGCTGTTCACTGTGTTCACTATGCGCCGTGCAGTTTGTATGCGAGATATTGGGTAGACGTTATGCTCACTGAGCTCATTGAACGTCAGTGTGTTTTGATGATCGATTGAAGCCACTAATAAACTGTATAACGTAGACTGGATATCGTGCGTTGTGCATTTCATCCCAAGTGAGTCACGTTCTACATTACACGGAGTCCTGTCAGTCTGGGCTTCCGTCCTGGACTCTTTCACAGTCCACGGTGATACATCTTTTTCATTTAAAATCATATTATGGCGTCGCACTAGCGACACTAAGAATTTTGCTTCAGGACTAAAATGTAGTAGAGACGTCTTTTTAGCGCATAATGCGTAAATTAGTACTTGTACTTTTGTTTGTCGACCAGGCGGATGGAAATATGGGATGTGTTCGGGTTAGCAATAAATCTTTTAGTGCGAACCAATTAGCCCTTTTCCAGTTTTTTGTCCTATTGCCTGCATAATGCTGATCTAGCATCATGCTAAGAAGCCCGGCAATAAATTGTTAAGCGTTCTTGGCAATTGCAGAGAGCCACAGTCAAGCCAAATCAATCTGGCCGATTTCGGATGTTGTACTTTATGGAGCCGGACGAAACCCGCATCCAGCAGTTGCCCAGCGAGATCCTGTCCCAAGTACTGCAGAATCTGGACTCCCTCCACCGTTGCGACATGCGTACCGTCTGCCGCGCGTGGAGCTATATCCTAACCACGTTGGATATCAGCACACAGTTGTACTTGGTTTACCACGGCCGGTTCCTCTTAGACGACTCCATGCCCGACGTCTACCGGAACGCAGCCTGTGCCAGTCAGCTCTGGGGCCGAACCATCGTGCTGACGGGTCGCCGGTGCCCGGTCCCGTACCGGAATCCAGTTAGCGTGACCATTTCTTTTTGAAGTTCTACAGCAATCCAGAATCGAGGCACTACCTTCGGCAGAAGCTTGCGCTTGTATCCGTTCTGTTTTAGTTGCGAATATGAAGTTATGTCGAGTATTGTATAAAACTTAAATTCTTGATAAATGTTTCTTAGTTTTAAAAGGTACACCTGGATTTTTAACGTCAGCAAAACAATTCAACGACATGAGTGTGTGAAGTACGGTCCTTCCATTTGGGACAGATTCATTTGAATGTGCTTTTGTGAACGCTCGCCTGTACATTGACAATCCCAGTACTGACAAAACACGAAAAAACCCGGCGCCGTACGAACGGCAGTCACAGTAAGAAAAAAAAAGACACATAGGCTGACATAGCAATAACAGAACAATTCCCAAGAGATCATAGGAATTTTTTTCAGAAACTGAGAAAATATTCAGGAGAATAATTTCTCCTCCTTCTTGCGCTTGGTCAGCACCGTGCCCGGCTTGTGCTGCGCATCGGGGTGGCGGTCCAGTTCGGGCGGGCAGTGCGAGACGGGGCTGTTCTTCAGCACTTGCCGCAGATCGAAGAATAAATGACTGTCCTCCTTCGTCAGAAACGAGATGGCAATTATTTTCACAATTAACAGAAATTTTATTAAAACAAATTCACATTCACAATTTCAGACATTTTGCATTTCGCACCTGGAATCAAATCATTTCATAATTCAAACCGCACTTCATGCATGTCATTTGTTTTAAAAAAAAACTGCTATATTTCTAGGTGGAGACTGGAGAGCTAGGTCAAATTTAATGCCGGTTTATGAAAATTCAATGAATTAATTGCTGAATAATAATAATATAAATACCTAAAATTTATTTTAGCAAATTTTTCTGCTTAAAACGGAAAAATTTGGGAAATAAATTTTAAAATACTGTATTTATTTTTTTCAACTTAAATTTTACTGTGCTTCAGATCATGCCAAAATCAAACCAGGCCTCCAGCATCTGCAAGTTTTCAATCAATTACGAGTACAATTTTTACGATCTATTATTTCAATATTTTTCCAGTGAAAATTAATCAACCAAAATGCCGGTCATTTTAAATTAAATTTCAAATGACCAATATATTTATAGATAAAACCTTTTAATAAAATTATACTTTACTGGATTAACCGATTGGAAATGGCGGCACAACGATTTCGTTTATTTTCTTCCGTTATTAGAGAAGTCAATAGTCGGGAAACCAATCTAAAACCTGTTTTTAAAATAGCAAAAAATGTGTGTTTTCTTATGAATAATCGGAAAGCAATGAATTTCAGCCACAGTCTTGCCTTTTATTGCCGGCGCGACCGGTGCGGCCGATGCGGTGCGTGTAGTCCTCGATGCTCTTGGTCATGTCGTAGTTAATCACCAAGGACACATCCTGGATGTCGATGCCGCGTCCCGCCACGTCCGTCGCCACCAGGATGTCCTTGCTCCCGTTCTTCAGCGAGGCCAAGGCGAACTCGCGCTGCTCTTGCCCTTTCCCTGTATTACACACCAACAGCTATAATAAATCAAGCAGACAAATAAAGTAAACCGCAACAAATGAATGGCAATGTTTCAGGAAATATTTTGCGGTCAATTTAAAGAATTATAGATAAACAATTATACGTGTTGGAAGCATAATTTAAAGAAGCACTTCAATGTTTTCCCAAAGAAATTAACAAATTTTAAATATTTTTATAATACGGAAAAATATTTAGTTAATTACACAGCAAGAATTTAATGTGCAGTAATAAGAAAGTCGATTCAAAACTGACCTAAATCAAGACCAAATTCAATTTAAACTTCATGTACAAGACACGATCGTACTCCAAATTTATTACGTAAATAATAATTTTAAATCCAAAAATTAATACGTAAATTTAAAAATTCATCAAGTAACTTCAAAATTTATTATGTAATTAATTGCGTAATTTTACTAATTTATTCAAAATTTATTACGTAAATAATAATTTTAACCAAATATTAATCAAAATTACGATTTGCGAAATAAATTTACCATAATTGATTAAGCAAGTTTAATTATTTATTCAATTTTGTAAGTCAACAGGTAACTGTAAAATAAATCTCTGACGCATACTGACCGCCGTGCAGGGTGGTAGCCGAGTAATTGCGCTTCTCCAGACCTTTGGCCAGCACATCGGCACCCTTCTTCTGGTTGACAAAGATGATAATCGGCGGCTCGAATCCCCCTCCATCCAGCACCTGCAGTCAATTCGTCGTTTAATCATATTTTCAAATGTCAACTATAGATCCCCATTATTATTTCTCCCTGATTACCCTAACTGCTGTAATTCAGTCTTTTATTAAAATTCCCAATTAATAACAACAATCATAATAATGAGAGTTTTTCCAATTTACCTGCATGATTTTCTTCCTATTTAACTGTGTCTTTGATATAGTTTTTAATAACTTATAATTATTATTATTTCTTTCAATTTGTCCGCAGTAGTTTAGTCTTTTATTAATAATTCAATTAATTTTATTACAATAATTACCAGTATTTCTCCCCATTTACCTGCAGCAGTTTGGCCCTGTATTAATAATTTAATATTTTTAAATTACTAATAATTATTAAAACTTCTCCTTGCCTGAATAATTTGGTCGTTTATTAATATACTAAAATTACTAATAATAGATCTAGATATTTCTCCTTCTTTACCTGCAGTAATTTGGTCTTCTTCTCCTGCTCGGAGCACATGTACACTAGCTGCTCCACGCGGTCCACCGGCTTCCCCACGGTCCCGATGTTAACGATGACGGGACGGCGCAGATAGGTCCGGGCCAGCCGCTCCACGGCCGGCGGCATGGTGGCCGTGAACATGACGGTCTGCCGGTATTTGCACTGACTGCGCAGATTCCGGATCAGCAGCGCCTCGTCCTCGGCCTCGTCCGTGTCCGGCTTCTGATTGCTCACCGGCATGTGCTCCAGGATCTTCTGCACATCGCCCTCGAAGCCCATATCGATCATGCGGTCCGCTCTGATCAAATTACAAACAGCCTGAGAAATTTTTATTATTTATTCAATTATTTTATATGGATTTATTTTCCAAGATTTTCTTAAGCTGTTACTATTTATTAATTCAGTTATTTTGTAGAATTTTTACGGATTCATTTTCTAGGATTTCTTATTCTTTAACTATTTAATTCAATTATTATAGTAGAATTTTTACGGATTTATTTTCTAGGATTTTCTTATTCTTTTGCTGTTTATTAATTCAATTATTTTTGTCGAATTTTTATGGATTTATTTTCCAGGATTTTCTTATTTTCTACTATTTAACTTTTAATACACAACATTTTATTTTTACATAATATCACCATTTTATTTTTTTTTAATGACGGTTGTTTCAGTTTGTAACACGTTATCTTTTTTCATGTTACTGTGTAGTTTATTGGATTTTATTTTTTAATATTCCTGTATTAATCCTGTTTTATAATGTTTCGTTTTACTTTAATTCACACGTCGCCCGCGAAGTCCATGTCGAACGTGGTCTGCTGTGATCAATTAATAACAACCTTGTATTTTTATAATTATTATTCGACATTATAAGAATACTAAGAAATTATTTTAGACGACGTTAGGTATCATTTTATTCTTATACTTTTCTCAGGTTATTTCATGTTAATTTATTTTCAGTAACAACATGAAATTTTCGTTATTGCGATTTTTAAAATTTTCTTACAAATCGTTCTATTAAGTAAATAATATTTTTCTTTTTACAAAGTAACCGGGTTTGCAATTTAAGCAGTTCTGGACCAAATTTAATGCAATTCAATCAAGAATTAAATTGAGGAAAAAATGAATTTTTAAAACATTTCTCCCAAGAAAAATTTTCTGATAAAACAGAAAAAAAGAAATGATAGCTAGTGCATGTACCGATGTTCTTAATTGAACTGTTAACAGTACGTACTCGTCCAGGACGACGTAGGAGCGATGGTTGAGCACCAGATAGCGGTTCTCCAGGACGTCCAGCAGACGACCCGGCGTGGCGATGACGATCTCGCAGCCCTGACGCAGCTTCAGGCCCTGATCCTCACGCGACAAACCTGCGGTATTAACAATCACATTACTTACATTACAGAAACTTCCCCGGCATCGCAGCGCTGCACGCTAAAATTTCCCACAGACACACGACATACACAATCCTATTTCACCGCTTCAAGTACTAATAATAATAATAATATGGGAAGTATTTTCTCACCGGGCCAAATTTGATTCTAGGCCGGACTGGTAAGATTTTCATGAGAAAACATCTGTACTGCACTAATTCAATCGGCATTCAAGATGTTCAAATTTCACCATTTTAAAATTATTCCAATAATTTTCTTGAAAAAAAAATTTTGGTTCACAAGAATCACAACGTTACAAATGCTCAAAGCCCGGTTTAATCTTGAACTAATTTGACCTGGAGCCGGCAATGTAAAGCATATGAAACTGTGATTTAAATTTCTAGAAATACTATTCTGGTTTTTCTGAAATTTCTAAAAGTGATTTAACTTATTCCTAATAATTTATTCTTAATAGCTTATGTTTCTAATTTTTAATCTCGAAAAATACGAACATTTCCAACTTTCTAATTTCATATTTCCAAGAACATTTCCCGCGTATGAACCAGTGTGAACGACTACTACCGACCGCCGATGACGGCGACGGTGCGGACGTCCAGGAGCGTGCCGAACTTGATGGTCTCCTCCTCGATCTGCTGGGCCAATTCGCGCGTGGGCGCCATAATGATGGCGTAGGGACCCTGGTCGATGTCCTCGTAGTCATGGCGCTCCCTCTTGGGCAGGGAGGTGATCCACGTCAGCAGCGGAATCAAAAACGCCGCCGTCTTCCCGCTGCCCGTCTCCGCCACGCCGATAATGTCCCGGTTCTGCAGGCCCACCGGGATGGCCTGCCGCTGGATCGGGGTGGGCGAGGCGTAGCCCACTTCCTTAATCACTTTTTGGATTTCCTATGAAATATGCCCAATTAATTTCTGTGCAATCAAATCCAGTAGGCGTTTTCCGGAAAACTAATCCTAATTTCCACTACCACCTTATTATTATAAACTGGCTTTTTACCCACAACAAAATTATTTGCAATTATTTAAAGAACAAACTAGTTAATAATAAATTTAATTTTTCGAAGAAAGCTATTAAAAATTAATTTTTCCAGCAGATTTATACCACCACATTCTCCTAAACAGTTATCCCAAATTATTAATATTCTGTCTATTCAAAGTGTTCCACCAAATCTGTTTAAAAAAATTATTTTAATTAATCTTCCGGGAAATAATTTCATTGTTATTAAATTTCTGCCAAATTAAAAAAACAGACTCACAAAATAAAACAGAAAATATACTGTAGCTGGCAAAAATTCGCCACTGGAATTCAAAACATATAAGAAGTGAAAACGTACAATTTCACAGACCGAATTGAAATTGTTACGTTATAAACTCCACTAGCGTTATGTGCTGCCCCAGGCAGTGTACGTAGCTAAGTCTAACGCAGAAATCCCGATGTGGATTTTGAGGCTTTATTTACGAAACACAATTCAAGTGACTGCTAGATGACTTCCAGTGGACTAAACCAGAGTGGACCATCTAGCATTAGCAAGCTTGGCGCTTATATAGCCACATTTGAGTAAACATCCTCATTAAGAAACTTCTGGAAACTTTCAAAGCCTTGGATTACTCAATAACAACATTAAAACGATATAACAAGAGATACAGAGAAGACTGGAAATCTGTCAATTCCCCGGTTCTACGGCAAGCAATTTTTTGACGTGCTTTAGACATCGTCTGAGCACAACACGCCGTCTTTAGAACGGCATGTTTCAGTATACTTATGGAGCCCCTTTTTATGTACATTTTCACGTCTAAAATACTTGGTCTTCGGAACTATATTGTGGCTTTTTTAAACTCAAAAAACACCCATCCAAAGGACATCTTTTGGATGAAGAATACATGGGTGCTTTTTTCTCGAATAGAACCGGGTTCAGGCCTTATCAACTTATGCCCAAATATAGAACTAAATGAAATTCTCTCAGTTCTCTTTGCGGCTAACGATCTTGTTTACGCCAGCCTGTATCTTAAAATAGCTCACACGGGGCTGTGTGGCTGGTAACAAAATTTCTCCATAAAATTATTAAAGGTGACTACTCCGTACACAACCTTTTGCACTACCTTTCATACCGTGCACAATGTTTACGTGAACCACCTTTTACTCGGTGCACTACCACACTTTTAATTAAATATCCATAAAATACATTAATAATATTACTTCAGAAAAGCAGAAATCGATGCGAAGAACACCGGCACACGGGCGCCTAGAATTATTTATAACTGCCGACGATGATTTGAATTATGCAGCAATAACAGCTGTTCACGAAAAAACGGCAGTTCGCGATCGGGAAGTAAATTTACTGTGAAAACATTTTCGAAATAATAGGTAGTGCACACAGATGAAGGTAGCGCCGATTGGTTGCGTACGGAGTCAAAGTCAGCGCTCAAAATTAGTCAAAAAGATAGTATATCGTAACCGTAAGAAAGGTAGCGCAAAACGTACGGAGTAAAAGTAATGGAAGGGTGTGTAGGGAGTGGTCACCTTTATTACATGAGGCCCGATGCGACGTGAACGCGGAGCGAAACCAGTCTGACACAAAGCCACTGCACTACGTTACTTGGCTATTAGCATTTCCGAGCATACTTTCCTAATTTCCCTAATTTCTCAAAAAATTTATCTTTTCCTTAAAATTTCTTCCCTGTTTGTTTTCTTTTCTGTTTTTTTTCTAAGCGGAATTTATAGCATCGGGTGGGGCAAAGCAAACAGGGTCCGATAACCCAGACGATCTCTCGAGTAATTAACAATAATTTTCAATAAAAACTTCTAAAGAAAAAACCTATTTTTTACCCACCTGTTTTTCAACCTACCTATTTTTTTTAAACCTACCTATTTTTTTCAAAATTATCACTGACTGTATTATTATGAATTTATTAAACTTTTTATATCTTTTTAGCGATGTATGTATATCCACTGACCGGCGGGACGTTGGCCTCCTCCCAGGAGCGGATGGGGTTGGGCACGCGGCCGTTCTTGACGATGATGTTGAAGTCCTCGCGGAAGATGCGCCAATCTCTCTCGTTCATCTCGTCCGGACCCTTCTCCGACCAGTGCCGGTCGTCGAAGCGCTGCTTGGCCTCGCGCTGCCGGATGTTGGCCTCGTGCACCTGGGCCTGCGCCTTCTCCTCGTGGTTGCGCCGGTGCTCGATCAGATCCTGCTCCGGCAATTAAAAAAAGGAATAAGAAAACGGATAAGCAATTTCCAGTTACAGATGCAAAATAATAACTACAAAATGTTCGTAATGGTTATTAAAACATTCTCAATGAAGGCAGTTGTACTTTATTAACTATTTATCAATTATCGTGCGCCAGCATTAATCAAATAAATAGATAAGAACTATCCGCTGTCAATTACAAATAATGAAAAAATAATATCAAATAAAATGTCCAATATGTTATCAAAATATTCTTAGAAATGCCGACGTACTACTAATTTTACTATAAACTGCAAAAACGGAAAAAATTTAATTATTAATACATTATAAGAATAATTCCGATCAATAATGTCAAAAATAATGATCACCGGATATAAATCAACACGTTTTAAAACCGAAAAAGTGAAATAATAAATTCTGGATTTGTTAATTAAAACGATGCAGCTAAAATTGTAAGTAGACAACCGAAAGACATCAACAAACGAACGTACTGCGAGCATCACTAAAAATAGAAAAAAATTTTGAGTTACAAATAATTTTGATAAAAACGATAATATTATTAAGAAACTGAGTATAATGACAATGAATCAGTGATCAATCGTAAATTCGGCGCGCACCTGGTAGAATTTGGCGTTCTTCTTCTGGCTCTTGATGTCGATGCCGCCGATGTGGCTGCGGCCGAAAAACTGCACCTGGTGCTTGGCTTTGTAGATGGGATTGGAGTCCAGCGAGGTGTCCTCGCCGGCGTCCCAGTCGAAGACGAATTTGCGCTCGTTCAGACGGCGCTGACGCCCGCCGTCGCTGCGTCGCACCCAGATACCTGACAATCAAATTACAGGAGTTATTGTAATATTCCACACGATTTTTTCATCTAATTTCCATATTTTGAGTGTTTTCCGACAATTCAAAGACGGAAACAAATAACATACATTAGTATAAAAAAAACGCAGTCACTGCACAATAAATCTCTGTCCAGGATGGCCGGTTTTTCCATCAATATTTGTATCGAATTCTTCCTGATTTTCAGCAGAAGTTACAAATACCCGGCAACGTTCAAAAGCTAATTTTTAAAAAAAGAAATGAGCTTCTTAGAATAATCTACAAGCACAAAACTATCTATTATTATAAAGAAAACCAATAAAAACAAATAAACAAATAAAAAAATCAAATAAAAAGCGAAAATACAGATAAAGAAAACGAAACCCGATAAGTAAACCGGAAAAAAACACATACACCGATTGAAAAAGATTAAGTAACTAAATAAATCGGAAATACAAAAGGCAAATAAATCCAGCGAAGAAAAATAAATGGAACGGATTAGAAAAGTCAAAAAATCATGTACAGAAACCGCACATGATAAATGCATAAATCGAACGAAAAAAATTAAACGGCAAAGGCTGAACCTACCAAATCGAAAAAATTAAATCATTATACGAGGCAAGAATTGCGTAAGAAGTGAAGAAGAATAAAAAACAACACCACTTTCTTCCCATAGTCAGCAGGTAAGCAACGAAATAGACGCAAAGAATAAAAACATTTTATAATACATTATTAAATTACACTAATTATTCCTGAATAAAATACATTAATCAGAAAATGTATTAATAAAAAGCCGCTACAACTCCGCATGAGAAACCCGGCGCCCATACCTCTTTGATGGCTTGTTCCTCCTTATCCGCGTCCTTCTCCGCGTCGCCTTCCGCTCCGACGTCCCGCCGCTCCGGATCGGAGTCGTCCGTCTCGCTGAAGACCTCCTCGCGGCGCTCCCGTCGCTCCCGTTCACGACGTCGGCGTTCCCGTTCGCGGCTGTTGGAGCGCGAGCGCAAACGCCGCTGACCGCGTTCCCGCTCGCAACTGCCGCCGCGGCGCCCTGTGCGGCGGGCATCTTGCTCGAACTGCTCGCGCTTCTTCCGCTCCTCATCCAGGCGGGCACGCATCGCGTTGGCCTGAAACGATGCACCATAAATCTAAACTGAATTCATAATTTAAATTCATAATAAATTAAAAAATTATAATATCCGTATCCGATAATCCGGATTGTAAGTTTGTAACCAATCCGGATTATTTACATAATACCGTCGGATCGTTAGTTGTTTGTTTCGTATCCGGCGGTATCCAATCGTTTATTTATTTATTTATTTATGTATTTATGTATTTATGTATTTATGTATTTATGTATTTATTTATTTATTCATTTATTTACCCGTTTCTGGATAATAAACTGTCAGATTTCCAATTAAATATACATTACAATTTTGCGTTGGGTTTAGTTTTACTTGCAAAAATTTCGATAAAAACCGGCTGAAATAAAACGAAACTATAAATCAAGAATACACAATACAAACACTGTACAGAATACCCGTAGATCAGTGGTCTAATGGCGAGCACAAAAGCCACGGCGTCAAATTAATGCCCATACACTACGCCATCATCACATTCGGCAACAAACAACAGCTGCCGATCGGACAGTCGAAAAATAATGTCATCCCATTCCCACCTACTTAATTACACCGTCAGTTCAGCTTAATTCATCTTCCAGCTAATCCACCTCAGAAAACATAATAAATTCATTAAAGAATAATGAAGATTTATTGAGCAATAGCCACTCGAATAATTATAACTGCAAGCGCTGACGCACTACTTACTTCACGGTTAAAATTTAAACATTAAAAAAACAACCAAAATCTCTGTAATACGAATAATTAAAAATAACAATCTCTATTATAGGATAATAAAGAATAATTGATTAACTATTATACATTTAAATTTTAAATAACTAAAAAAGGAAAACAATGAAACACAAACGTTTTTTCCAAAATTAAGCAATAAATAATGTGCTGTTTACATTGATAAAAACGGCAATAAAATTCAGAGAGAATTGTAATTAAAATTTATCGTTATCTAATGGTAGATCCAGAATAGATCCACAGACGGAGACAGAAACGGAATCTATCCCGTGGAAGTGAGCAATACGATCTGGATTGCGAACTATTGCGAAATCACAAAACGTCGCACCGTAAACTGCTGACTTTTTAATATTGAAAAGTCTGGAGAACAGAAAATCAATAATGATCGGCGCAGCTCGATCGTAAAGCGTGGAGCCCGTTCAACAGTGTGTAACACTGTGCAGCACGTGCTATGCCGCGCCCACTAACACAACTCAAGCCAATCAGAAGAGACACAACACAGACACGTAATCCTAAGGCGTAGCGCCACAGGCATAGCGCCACTGACGTGAACGCTAGTGATCCCGGTCTCACATGCCTCTGGGGATGCCGAGCTCCTGTGAGGCTGGACACACTCCGAATCCACGAGAAGACGACGGTCGCCGGTGTCTGTGCGTGCTCAAAACATCAAATTCTCTTAATCCATTTTATCACATCAATTCCGTAAAGGCACAATTCCATTTAATACAATGTGAATAAAGAGATCCAACTATAAAAATACTATCAAATCATTAGGAACAGATCAACAGTAACAGATCAACAAAAGTTTTAATCAAATGTAGACTAGGATCCTCCATTTCTGACTCGTAAAGGTCACAGGTCCTGTCCACCGTTTTCCGCACTTTTAATCCATTCCGCTCCGTTGAGCAATCCTGCGCATCCGTAATGCGACTTCATCACAATCCGCTTGAGAATCAGGTGCGTATCAAGTACGACTTATGAATACTGCTTCATCTTTGGAATATGGTGCGTATCATTCGTACGACTTCAAAATGAGATCCAATAAAAGTCATGGAGGGACGTCGATGAAGACAAGCGTAGTTCGCTTCCTCCCTGGTAAAGGTCATCCTTTGTTTAGATGATCCGTTGAGATGTGCGACTCATTTTGGGTTAATGGTCCCAAAGGTCATCCCACTCGTCAAAACTTCCATTAAAGGTCATGGAGGGACTTAGCCAATTTTCTGTGGCTTTCAAGCACTTCTTCGCTTGCCTCCCTGGTAAAATTTGCAGTTTGACCTTTCCGTCGCACATCTTCAGATGGGGCCGGTTAGTTACCGCATTAAGTTCCCCATGAAATTTCCACCTTAAATCTTTTACTCTTGTTCGCCGCTTGTGGCTACGTTATACGAGAAACCGGCTTGGTTACCGTAGGTTTTCTCGTTTCATAGATTTTGTCACTGAATCGCTTAACTAGAGTGCCGGCAGAGTTTACCGTAACAACTCTAATGAGGCCGGCTGGTTGCCGCATTAAGTTAACCTCATCAATATTCCACCTGTTGTCTTTCTCTTTTCGCCGCTTGTGGCCACTTCGTCTTCAAGAGATCCGGCTTGATTACCGTAGTTTCTCTTGTACATTTATAACACTGAATCACATGGAGAGCCGGCTAACTGCCGTAACTACTCCCTTGGGGCCGGCTTTATAGACCGAATCAATTTAAACCCCAATAGATGCTCCATGATTTCTTTATCCTTTCGATTCTGTGCTATAAACGCTGAAAACAACAAGTACACGAACGCGGTTTCAGTAATATGTTACGTGACCTTTATACTTTACCATTGCGCCTAGTTAGGCTATACCGTACTGAACTGAGACTTTCGCATTCAATTCTGATTCTGATGACCATTCGTTACTTTAACGTGATGACCTTTCCCGTGCTATTTTTCAGTTCAATCGTCTCATTCTAACACGGTGACCTTTCACGTTTTTGACGTTTCCACCAGTTCTCCAGCGATAACTAATTAACATTCAACTGTTTCTGATCTGTTCGCCATTATTCAAGTAGAAAGTTCTTCCAGCTTGTTGACAGCCTTGTAACTCAAAAGGTCATGTCGTTCCATTTAATCGACATATATTATCCATTGTCGCATTGGTTATGACCATTCTCCACGCATTTTGTTGAGCTCCGGCAGCATTTTTCATTTCGCTGGTGTACCGCACGTTTCCGGTTTCTGGGGAATGCCGAGTCCGTTGGTTCGTTTCTCATCGATTGTCTATCTCGCTAATGATCCAAACGAAGACTGAGTCGATTTCGGTTCGTCAGTCTTCTCTTTTGCGGCTAAGTCTCGTGACCTTTGGTTTTTCGGTCGTCAGTGGAATCTCCTGACCTTTCGGTTTCTCCGTCGCTGAAGCCTGTTTCAATAGTGTAAACAACGATTTTTGAACCACCTGTCGCGCTTAGTCCGCTTCTGCATCTGCTGCAGCTTTTTCCATGGGAGCATGACCTTTTCTTCCCACCTTCTTTCAGTCTCGTGACCTTTCGGTAGTTTCGTAGACACGGAACTCTCTTGACCTTTAGGTTGCGCCCTTCTCTACGGTTCCAGACGTCTCTTGACCTTTAGGCTGTTCGCCTTTCTGTCAAAATCCGTGACCTTTCACTCGGTCTGCTCTTGACCTTTCACTGACACTTGGTTCATTTGGCATCTAACTTTTAAGTTCATTTGCGCTTGACCTTTGGGTCAATGGTCACTTGACCTTATGGTTTCGGTGATCTGGCTTCACAATCTCGTCTGATGACCTTTCATTTTGCTGATCAAGATCTTTCGTGACCTTTTGGCTGATCTTTTTGGATTTCTGCCGGAGTCTCTCACCCTTTCGATTGACCTTTCTCTTCTTCCGCTTTTGCTTCAATCGACGTGTGCCCTCCATTTGTACTTCAGTCAGAGTCCGATGACCTTTCGACTGGAGGACCTTCCTGTTGACTTTTCATCCATGATGACCTTTCTGGTGTCCATTTCGATGACCTTTTGACCTTTTAACAATTTTGATGACTTTTCGTCAGAGTTTGGTGACCTTTACACTATCAACGAAAACGATAACGATTGGCTGGTGTACTTTGTATGACCTTTACACCTTCCGAACTTCTATTTTTAGTGCCATTGATCCCATTAATCATGTTTATGTGGGTTATTTGTTTTCGCGTCCTTTAGTTATCCGATCAAGAAGTTCTTTCTCGGCTGCGTCCTCAGGTTCGCCTTTCTGGGTCAATAAGTCCGTAGGAGTTGGCTTCTTCTTCTGTTTAACCTTCCGCTCGTTAATTGCTTTCGCTATATCACGGCCCAATTGTTCAGCTTTTGATTTAACCCCTATTTCTTTTCTCTTTTGTATGAGGTCATTCTCATCGCCGGTAGCAGTGCGTGGTTCGAAAAAATCGGGTCACGCTCTGATATCTCAGCGTCCGTTCGCTGTTTCAAAAGGTCATCTTATCTGCGGTAGCAGTGCGTGGTTCGAAAAGGATTGTTGCAAGTCCTTTTGGAGGTACTCTGGTACTTTAGACTCGTTCCTGGTATCTTTTCCAGTGACCTTTCTGCCAAATTACCAGCTTCTGCGTTCAACTTAATTGTGACTGCAGTTTCAAAGTCTTTGTCCTCTTTCCTTTTCCTTCCTCGCTTCTGTTTCGGTTTATCTCCGTTTAACCCATTCGTTTGACCTTCTCCCATTTCGGGTAGCAGAGGTGGTTCGAAAATGGCTTCGTTGTGTGACTGAGTCATTTTCGGACTCCGCTCTGATTCGTCTTCTTTCCGTTAGCTTTCTCCGTTTCGGGTAGCAGAGGTGGTTCGAAAAAAGGTTTTCCGAATCTTTTTGAGTACGCTCTGTTGCCTTTTCTCATCTGGTAATGGAGGTGCCATGGTTTCAACCGGTCGATCGAAACCACCTTCAAGTCTGCTTCCTTCTTCGGGTTCTGCTCAATGACTTCGGCTTCGTTTGGTCGCGGAAACTGAGAATCTTCCACACTTTATCGTATTTCGACTTAAAGTCCGATTGGTTTTTTCCCTTGTTTCGTATCCTTTGGTAGCCGTATCAATACGAAATCTCCCACTTTAAAGTTCGGTCAGACTTCTTCTTGTTGTAAATCTCCGCGTTCTTCTCATAAGCGTCTTTAATATTACACCGTGCCACTTCTTCTGCAAAGGTCAAGTTTCTTCATGGTCTCCACCCATTCGTCTGAGTCCCATAATCATCGGCATATTCGTTTTGTAACCACATCTTCCGGCATTGTCATTTCTCTGCCGTGTAGCATATAGTATGCTGAATATCCCGTTGTGGCGTGTACGACTCTGTTCATCGCTGAAATAACATATGGGAGGTACTTGTTAAACTTTCTTTCGTTTCCCGCTTTCAGGTACTGTGCCAAACCATCCGCGATCGTTTGCATCTGTCTTTCGACTTGACCTTGACCTTCTGGGTGATATGCCGTTCCAAATGTGTGTTTAATCTTAAACACATTGGTGACCTTTGCCAATACTTCTGCTGTAAAGTGTCGTCCGCGATCCGTATGTAGGATGTGCGGTGCTCCGTGTACCAATATCACGTGCTTTACGAACACTTTGGCGAATTCTTTAGCCGTTGCCGTCTTCATTGGTACCGCAATCACGTATTTCGTCAGTTGATCAATGAAAACCGCTATGTACTTATATCCGCGTTTCTTCGTCGGTAGCAAAGGTCCTTTCAAGTCGGCATACACTCGGAAGAACGGATGTCCAACTTTAATTTCTTGTAATTTTCCAGGTGGGCATTTTCTTGGTGTCTTGCGGAACTGACATCCTTGACAAGCGAGTATGTAATTTTCTTCACATCGGTACTCATTCGATCCCAATAATACCGTAATCTTATTGCTGACAATGTCTTTTCAAATCCCAAATGACCCGCTGCTTTCTCATCATGCAATGCGTGGATTATCGCTCTTCGCATTGACAACGGTACGACATATGACCTTTCAAGTTTTTTATCCTTATCCTGACTCGGTATAATATGCCGTTCCATACTGGATATGCACTTCAATTTCGATCTTGTTTCCATCTGGTAGATGTTCCAACTCATCTATAATCATGGCCAGATGGGGATCTTTCAACTGTTTGTTTCGCAATTGTAAGTTCGAGT